TGATACCCCTGGACTACAAGCCAACATCATCTTCCTAAGGATTCTCTTGAGGGTGGAAGCCCCAGCTCTGCCGAGAGACAAAGCTGCACGCACCCTCCTGCTGCACTCCTCCTCCTCCTCCTCCTCAGCACCGTGCTGTGGGAGCAGCGGCGCTGTGCGCAACCCCTCGGGTAATAAAGGCCTTTTTAAAGGAGTCTCCTGGCCATATTTATCACACTGGCACGCCAGCCCGTCAATCTGCCTAACAAAACAGTTTGTGAGGCAGCAGGGCAAATCACGAACGGATTAGCATTAAAATTAACCCTGTATCTGAAAGAAAATAAAAGTTTACTGAAGCAGAGGTGTTCAGAGGCAGCAGTGTGGGGCAGACCACTGTGCTGGCAGGGCCAAAGCACTGGTGAGCTGCTGCAGGAACTAGAACAAGAGCATGGCAAGGAGAAGGAGAAAATGTAACCCAGTGTAGCCTATGTGCTGTGAAACTTCACTTGAGCTTGAACACTGTTGGTGCAGTTTAACATTATCCTCATCCTAAACCCAAAACACAGCACTGTACCAGCTTCTAGGAACAAAATTATCTCCACCCCAGCCATGGCCAGGACAGCTGTGCAAAGGCTTTCCTTAATAAAGTCAGACATCTATTTACATGCAATATAGTCACAGTTTCGTGTCATTTATGGCCTGTGTTAGGAACACTGACAGGTAAAATTGCTGGAAACTTCCAGGTAAAGAGGAAAAAGGGTGACATGTTTCCCCATAAATATGGAGATTTGGGGCCAAGTGTAAGTACCTTCACTTGCCTGTGATTAACAAAAAGAACACTATCCCAAGGGCAATATTGTAAGAAAGATCTCAGGTGAGAAACAATCAGGATACACACACACTGTGGACTGGAAATGGCTGGAACATGTAAGCAGCCATCAGTTTCTAGGCACCAAATGGGAGAGACTCACTTAACTAAGAAGCAATGAAAAAAGCAATGAAAAATCACGATCCCGGAAGCATGTTGTGGGGAGGGGGTTAAAGAAAAGACAAGATAGGTAAGACCCAAAGACCCAGCCCAAAACTAACAAACAAATATTAACTTCTGGAATTCCAAAACAATAGATCAGAGAGAGCCATGACAGACTTCACATCTGCTTGCTTTGCCACAGAGGGACCCTCATGTATGGAAAATACCCCAAAGAACCCTGGGACTATTTTTTGCTCAAGTAACTAATTTCTCCACCTCTATTCATTAACTGCATTCCTCCAGTTCTCCACCATCAGAAACAGCACGAGATTCACAAAAGGTCTGCAGACAAACCACCCGACTAGCAAGAAATGAAGCAATTAATTTCACTACAGAAATATACTACACAAAAGTAGTGCGCCACACTCAGTCTAACTATAAATGCAATTTTCCTCCTGGGTCACCTGATGTAAAGTCCTGATATAGCATTTAGTTGGAACAAGACCCAATCCCTTAAAGAGCTTTTACCTTCTAATAAATTTTCCTCTTACCCACTTAAGAGGGCCATTATATCCTAGTGAACACAAATTCATCTGCAAGCACAAAGTCTTTGTGACACACAGAATTACTCTAAGTCAAAGCCTGGGCTGGCATTCCCAGGACTCTGATGATGACTTAGTCTGGGACCTGAGGCAAATCACGGAGTATTTGTTAGGGCATCCCTAAAAGTGGCACAAATAACTTCTTGTAACAGATATTCCAGAGCTTTATCAAGTATGTAGGCTGCTTTAAAAGACAAAAGAATTGCTACAGGGTTGCTTTTGATAGAAAATCTTCTTCTGACTTCAGTAGGAATTGGAAGAGGCCTTTAAGAAGCCTACTGCAAACCAGACATGAACCATGCAAAGCAGAACCTGGCTGAATGAATGCAATTGATGGCAGAGGATTTGTAGGGTCGTCCACGGCCACAAGAACTGCTTGTGCAGGCCCAAGCCAGAAGCTGAGCCCAAATGACACTGAGAAACACCAGCCTTACACTCACATTCTTTTAAGGCAGTTACCAACACAGTTCCTGCTTGGGCACATGGATGAAAATGTGATTCCAATCTGCCCTCCAAATGCAACCTGGTAATTTAAAAGCACACTTAAGTCCATTCAATTGGGAATGATTGAACAAAAAAGAAGCACCACTCATTCTAACTTGATTTTATAAATATGATGCTTCTTGACAGTAAATGAATCTTTCTAAACCCCAGTTAAAATGATTGAACTGCTCAAAGAGGATTCTATTAAGTCTTGCATCAACCAGCCTGCCTTTTTTTGTCTTATGAGGCAAATAAACAGATTTACAAGAAAACATTTGGTTGAAGAGTAAAGAGTTTCTTCTAAGAATCAAATCCATTCATGTTTTGAACTCATCTGCCAGCTTCTAGCTCAAGGCAAAAGATTTCTATTAATATTTATTTAATAATACATGTTTAGAATTTTACAAATGCTGTTGCAAATCCATAGACAAGGGTAAAAATCTTAGAAGTTAAAACAGTATTCCAAATCAGAGACCAACAGAGCTGAGTAGCAGCTCTGAAGCAAATTCAGAATCAAGAGAACAATCCTCCAAAGTCCTGCTCTCTGTGGCTTGTAATGGTTTGCCAGCAATGGATCCTTCAAATACAGTTTCCAATAGTTGGTGATTTTCTTGCACTCCTATAACATAAATAACTAGATATTTGTGCAGATGATGAGGTGACAAACATAACTCCTGGGTGAGGATAGTGGGAAAAGTCTCCATTTGTCAGGGTCTAATTCCTCACAGAAGTTTTACATCCTCTGGAACAAAATCAGTGATAGATGGACATGGGACCATGTTCTACCCACTGTGTTTCAGATAAACAGGTAGCTCAAATGATTCTAACATGTGCTATTTCTGCAGTCAAAAATAAACTCTCCAGTTCTTCCTCTAGATGTTTGCTCTTACAAGCATTTGCATAAAATTTCCCTAGCAGGCCATTTTGGACAGACAGTGTCTGCTTGTCCATTATCCTGAATGATAATGCTTTTCACACAGCAGAATACTAAAAAAATCTAGATACTTCTTTAAAAAAAGGAAAACGACAATGAAAGAGGAGGTGCAGTGAGCCTACATAGTCACAGATTGGAGAGCAGCATTTTAAAAGGGAAACATTATTTATTGCACTAATACTGTAATTACAATGTCGTTTTTGTAGAACAATGACTATTTTGATTAAGGCACTCATCAGCAGCCCCACAGCTGAAAGCACCACAAGTAATGTAGAGATGTTCCAGTGCCCAACCACCCCTGTGAGTGAAAAACCTTTTCCTGATATCCAACCTAAACCTTCTGTGACACAACTGGAGGCCATTCCCTTGGGTCCTGCCCCTGGCCACGCGAGTGAAGAGATCAGTGCCTGCACCTCCACCTCCCCTGGTGAGGATATTGAAGACCACACTGAGGTCTCCCCTCACTGAGTCTCACCCTTGGATGATCTCAGACACACTGAGGATTGTCAGAAGAGCATTAATAAACTGTTAAACAATCTGTAATTTATTACAGCTCTGGAATTTGTTTTCATACAGGCAGATCCAAGCCAGCATAAATTCAGATAAGGAAGCATGTATTATGTTACCTTGCACACTACACTCTGTTACAGATGAGAGTATTTTATGTAGGTCAGGCACTGCTTCCCTGGAGACAGAGAAAAAGCCATAAGGAAATCAGAGCAGTGTCAGGCCTTATTTCAGTGATCCAGCATACTCCAAAATTTCAATTATGCAGAGATTGTGTCTCTCTGGCCTTGTCTACCAACATACCAACATCAACTCCTCCAAGGCTAAGTGCTGCAGCCCAGACAGGAGACATCTCATGATGCAAACCCAGAGACAACTCCTTGCACTCATGAGGAAACAATAATGTTTTGTCAGTTGGAAAAAGAACAGAAAAATCAAAGTGATGGTAATTTTCAACTCATTGCAACACTGAGCTGCAAAATAAGTTTTTGGGAGCAGAAGGCAGCTCTCTGGCCCTTACAGTGAGAAGAACAATGTTATTAAAAGAAGCAGTCTTGCATTTCTCTCTCCCTTTCCTTGAAAAAGTGAAAGAGGGAGAGAGAAAGCTGAAAGAGGGTCTGTGCTTCACTCTGGCTGAAAAACCTCTTTATCTCTAACAGGCGGAAGAAAAAGAATTTCAAGAAGCCAGAAATAAAAATGAGTATTTTGTGTTCTATCTTGCTGTCTCAGGAGATAATTATCTATTCTTACAGTAAGTTCCCCTTTTTTTGCTATTGTACAACGGTATGCTGATATTCTGGCAGCTAAAAGGCTCAAAACACAATGTTACCTCTCCCTTACCTTTCCTAGCAGGGCTCACAATTTATTTTTATAACACACCACCCCATTTTTCACTACCATTATCTACCTAGGAATTCCACCCTTATCAAAAACCTGAGAGATTCTCAAAGAGAACAGAAAGGTGTTAAACTGTGAAGAGATACAGAAAGAAGTACTCAAATCACACACAATACTGCATTATAGTAAACAGGTGAAGAGTGTACAATGGAAAAAGAAAATATATGCACTCACAATATATTCACATTATGAATACCTTAATTCCCTTCTGTCTGGAAGGCAGCATAAATGCCCCTATATTCTACTTTGCTCCACAGTGATTTTCCTAATTTAAATAAACCAAGTAATCTAGAAAGGTTTTTCTCATCACACCTGTGAGAAACTGTTCTTACTGAGTCTGGGACCACAGGTAAGCAGGGAAATTTAGCTATCAACTCTGCAAAACTCTGTTGAAAGAACAATCCCAAATTCTACACATCTACCCTTGTCCCAGATTAAGTTCTGTGAAGAGAGCTATTGCTCTTTTTTCCCTCCTCTCTCCTCAAATAAATGTACATGTCTGCAGAGCTGTGGATCTCCTTTCCATGCCATCATCCATGGTTTGGACTGCTTTCCCCCTCTGCAATAAGAAGTAAGCTATATTTTGAATGTAAGCCACCAGTATGGGCTAATTGTTTTCCTTCCTTACCCTGATTCCAAGCTCCACATTCTCTCCTCCATATACTTCCATGCCTTCATCCAGCAATCCAATCTCTTGGAAGTATTCTCTGTCCACTATGAAGCATCCAAGCAGTGCAGGACTTCTGGAAGAATAAATCATCAGCAACCAAAATTAGCAGATAAATTATGAAGAATTTTATTTTTCAGGCACAGATTGTATTTATCATTGCTACGTAAAATGATGCAGCAAAACAGATTCTTAAGAAAGTATTTCTCAAAGAGCTTTATTGAGCCTTGCCTTCTGACATTCCTAATTCTAAAGTGAAATGAGCACCATTGAAGGAAATTAGAGTCAAATTATTGGACATAAATATTCACCAGAGCAGTAAGGATTTCAGTGCTAGTAGTGTGAGATCCAGGTGCCCCAGTTTTGTTTCTGGGGCATCAGCCAGTGTAGCCTCTGTCCTTGCTAAGTCCTCAAGGCTCTTGCCTGTGACAATTGCAAATGATGTGCAGTTCTGTGTGTTTAGCCAGAAGCCAGGTTCAGCTAGAGCTAAAAACTTGTGTCTGTAAGCTTACCTAAAGAAAGAGATTATTTCTTGAATAGGACCATCCAGATACATTTTTTTAATACAGAATCAAGCAAAGCCTGCCTTTACCAGCATAACATTAGTCCATTATCCTGAGCCAAACCTAAACAAATCACATAGCTTTACTGGATCAGTAAACTCTACTTATGTCATGGTGGGAACCAACCAATTTTTACTATACAGAGCAAATTTTAGTCAGGTAAGAGTTCAGCCACAGAGGGTACAATTTCACCTTATGAGTAGAGAAGGATACAGAGTCATTTAGCCTTTTCATTTTTCTCCTACCTTATAATCCACAATTGCAAGAAATAAATATGTCTTTTCAGATTATTATGCTGGCACTCTGGTAATGACAAGATATTAATTAGCAGTACAGGAGAAATCACCCTGCTTTTATGGAGAACACTCAAGCTACAGCTAGTGGACACATCTGCTTTCAAACAGATCATAGGCTGTCTTAATCACAAATTCTACAGTTCTACAGAAATCTATATATGCCTCCAAGTGCTATAGTACCCGTTTTATAACAATGAAAGACCATCTTTGATGTATTTATTAATGAAGAAAATAGCAGTTAACATCAATACAAAACTTATGCTTCATTTATGATAAGGTCCTTTTGCCTTTGTTGTTGTTTTTAAGTGTTTCTCAGTGCACCTGCTTCCCTTTGCTATAATTCTAAAAGAATAATGGAGGCAGATAGAAACCATCCATCAAGACACATGGCTTTGTTTGTTGGTGTGCTTGTTTTAATTATCCAACACACACATGCAGCATATTGCACTGAATTAAAAAATGTGCCAGGGAAAGAGCTAGGGAACAAACCTGAAATTCATAAAGTACATGCACTGCCCAGTCCTCATGTGGAACAGAGTTTGGGGGTAAAATGGAAAAGTCATTACTTTGTGTTTCACTACTTTTAATTTTAAAAATCATAATGGTTACTCTGTATAATTAATCACAGGATCATAGAATGGCTTGGGCTGGAAAGGACTTGAAAGATCATCTCATTCCAAACCCCAGCCATGAGCAGGTACATCTTCAAACAGATGAGGTTGCTCAGAGCCCCATTCAGCCTGGCTTTGAACACCTCCATGAATGGACATCCATAACCTCCCTGGCAACCTGTTCCAGTGCCTCACCACACTCACAGAGAGAATTTCATCTCAATACCTAACATAACCCTGCCTTCTGTCAGTTTAGAGCTGTTCCCTCTTGCCCTATCACTACCTACTTCTGTCCCTTACCAGTTTTCTTGGAATCACCATTTAGGTACTGGAAGGTGCTGTAAACCTCCCTGGAGCCTTTTCTTCTCCAGGCTGGACAACCCAAACTCTCTCAACCTGTCTTCACAGGAACATTTTTATAGTGTCAACAGAGTTCATTAACAGCAATAACTATTTCTAATGCTGTGGAAATTAACCCCTTTTCACGTTTGTCTTTGGCAAACCTGTTAATTTTTATCTCCTGCTTTCCAATTCTAGGTTCTGTTCATAGGTCAGTGCAGTTCAGAGGGTGTTAAACTGACAGAACCTGAGAGAAGTGCCTGCCTGCCAAGATAGCTGCTGGATGAAAAACAGCTGCCAGTGCTGTTTGAGGTTCTGCTTTCAGGAGGTAAGAACAGCATTCACACTTCCTTTCTGCAGGGAGCTGGAGCACAGGTACCAGTGCCCTCCTTGGAATGAATGTGTGTCTACAAGCAAGGCCTGTACTCTCAGCAGAGCTGCTCAGTGGGTTCAGAGGGTACTACTCCCCTCCCTGAGACAAAGGGATTGTTCTGTACCAGTCTGACAACACTCTGGACATGGGAACAAAGTGCAGACCCAGACTGTCCCAAAGCAAGGACCCAATGCAGCCTTTGCTCACAGTGTCACTGACCAGACATTAACTCCTGGGACACAGCACAGCTGTGCACCTATGTGACAACACTATAAAGAACACAGCTGTCAGGTCAGCTCTGCTTATGCAATGTAACTGCAAAGAAAATTCCATTTCTGGCCCGTAAGCACTAAATCAGCAGGCAAGACATTTGGAGAACGGAGTGCTGCTGAGCAGCCCTGCCTACCATTCCACTTGGGCAGGAAACCTGTTTAAAAAGATCTACTGAAAACAAAAGTTTCCTTTAAAAACATCTACTGAAAACAGGAGTTTTCTTGATGACTGTGTAGGCATCAAGGACATTTAAGTAATCGAAGTTTACAGTCAGTAAAACCTATCACACAGCTGAGCCCACTTGCCCCCTGTCACACCCAGGAGAGCTTTTAGACACTGTAATTTAGTTATTTATTACCTTATTGGAGCAGTTGTGTTCTCCAGTTTCCACCAGGACTTAGGAGGGTTCAGATACCTGCACCACAGCTCCCAGTCAAAGCCTTGTGCTGAGAGGGGATACTCCTCTATTTCAAAATTATCATACTTAATGTTATCGAATGATGGAGAAATTACTCTTTTTCTGTTTTCTTTTATCCTGGTGAGCACTGGTTCAGCCCTAAAAAAAAAAGAAATACACTGTTAAGATTACACCACTGCAAGCATAGCACTGATGGAAATCATGGAGTAGTTTGGTTTGGAAGGAGCCCTTAAAGAGTATTTAGTCCACCACCAAATAAACAATATAGCAGCTAATGCTGTATTTTTCAGAAGGAGCAAAGTCTAAAGCTGTTACCCATTCAGAGCCCTTTCTGCCCCAAAATAATAGACTGCAACATATTCTCTAGGAGGCTCTGTTGTTAACCTTGATTTGAGCTGGTGGATGGAAGAAATGAGTATCTGCATATCATAGAGCATTTATACCCTTGCTACCCAGTAATGATAACTTCAGGCTCGCAACACTATCAAGGACATCAGGAGCAGAGTTAATAATAGATCTGTCCTAGAGACAGAAGCTCTTGCCTTTTTACCTCACTTTTACTTAAGGAGCAAGGGAGATATTAAATCCAGACTGAACACGGTAAAACACATTATTTTAGTTATGTTTACTTTTGCAGATTGGCCAAAATAACGCTTCTTTGTTTACACTGCAGAATGTAAAAGAAACATAATCTTTTTTAATGAAAAGAAGATACATTCACCCTCATGGGCAAAGGGCTACATTACTGGAGGAGATTTTTAATGTGCAGTTTTCTAATATGATTTAACTACCTTGTAATTAGACCAGCAGATTACTCAAACCATGAAAATGTATCTAGATCATATTACACAGCACAAACACATTTTTCCTGCTTGTGTCCATGATTATGTCTGAATTTTCATTAAAAAGCTCAAAATTCTAACTCACCCTCTAAATGCCAGTCAGTAATTTACCACCAGTGCTTGGCAAAGGTCCCTGGGTGAGAGAATGGAAGGGGCACATACCAACCCACGTTGAATTCCACGTGGGCATCGAAGAGAGCGACGACCGGCGCTGTGGCTGCTCTCCAGCCGCTGACTCGGGAGCGGATCAGCCCCTCCTGCCTGCTGTGCCGGACAGCCTTGATGAAACCTGGCTTGTGGGCATTCACCTCATCAACATACTGCTGCAGCTTCTCCTTGAGCTCCTCTGTAGAAGGGCAAGAATTGGGCGTCAGCAAGAGATGCCAGCTCGACAAGGTGTAAAAATTCGCGCTTTGTGTCGTAGATGAGCGATCCCCATCCGGGGAATGATGTGCTCTGACTCCATGATTCCAGAAGGCTGAACAAATCCTTTATTAAGCTTTATTAAGCTGTACTATATTACACTAATACCATATTAAAACTACACTAAAGAGATACCAAATACTACTAAAGAAAAACACATGACTCTCTGCAGACAGTCACAACACAGCTTTGACCCAATTGGCCAATCAGTCCAAACAACCCTCGCTGGTGTCCAGCTCACAAACCACTTCTGGCAAACCATCTCCATGACACATTCCACATGTTCCAAACAGGAGCAGCAAGTAGAGATAAGAATTGTTTTCTCTTCTTCTCTGAGGTTTCTCACTGCCTTCCCCAGGAAAAGTCCTGGGAGAGAGAATTAAATCTCTCTTTGTTCAGAGAATGCGAATACCACACTTTGAGTAAAACAGGAGCAGCCTTCACACGGCTGCTCAGAACTCTCAAATAGTCAGTCTAAAAGGAGGCAAACAAAAAGGAGAAGGACCATGAATTATTTAGCAATAAAAAAATTTCAGATATAACTATTTAGCCTACATGACTGCCATCAGAATCCTGGCACTGTTTAACAGTAACAAGCCACAAAATGAAGTGTCATAGCTACATAAGAGTATATTATTTTACTGTAACAAAAAACAAGGCACCTGTCTTCTATTTCCAGGAAAATAAATAAAAAGCCTAAGTATTTTCCATGAATATTCTCTACCAATATTGCAAGAAAAAAAAGAGAACTAAGAGTAAAAGGCATTATTTTTCTCTTTCCATTTTTCTTTCTCAACTTTGACAACTGGTTTCTGTCTTGACTAAAAAGTTCAACAACTTTGGCTCTTAGAACAAAGACAAGTAAAAGCTCTAGAGAAGAATCATTCCTAATTAAAGTATAATAACTCTTAGATCAACAGCTATTATCTCTCTGGTTTAAAGACCACTGCATGAGAAAACACAATATGTGGAGTATAAATATTGTGTTCACAATGATTATTAACTGAAAGCAATGTTCACTTCATTCTTTATTAGCATTCCTATGTTCTATTTACATTATGGTATCGCTCAGAATTCCCTTTGGGACAATAAAGTCCCTTTATTCTGGATCTCTCCACAAATCCAGCAATGTCTTTGCTCTGATGCAGAATAATGCTCCTGTGGCTATTATGCTGTACTGGGCATTATCAAACCTGCATTAAAGCTCAATGCTGACTGTGAAAACCCTAGCAAGCCATTTACCTTCTCCTGAGGAACGGGTTCCCCAGGGAAGCAGTCACAGCACCAAACCTGCCCGAGTGCAGGAAGCATTTGGACAACCTCAGATACATTCTCAAGTGAATTTGGGGTGTCCTGCCATTGAGCCCCAGGCAGTTTGAGAATCTGAGAAATCAGCCTTTCACGCTGGGAGCTGCTCACCTCCAACAGATCTGGACAAGCAGCATGCTGGAATGGGTAATGGCACAGAAAATTAAAAGCAAGCACACTTTGTGAGCCATATTAAATGTTCATCCTTGGAAAGGAGGGGGGTGTGTGCTCTCTTGAGCTGACAGAACAACAGAGCTCATCAATTGCAAGTTCATCCTAAAGTTCATCCCTGCTGTTTGTGCAGACTCTTGGACATCCACCAGGTGTGATGCAGCTGTTTCTCAGGCCTTGCAGGACTCTGCATGCCATGTACCTTTGAATCAATGAACTCTGCATGAACCGAGAATATCACAGAAAAATCCTGATTCTTACAGGTTTTCAGACAAACAAGAATTAAAAAGAAACAGTCTGCTGATCATGTCCCTCACAACATTTAAACTGCAGCAATATTTTAGGAATTGACTGGATATATTCCCAAAATTTTCAACATTACATTGCCAATAACTATTCAATTTGTTTGTCTGTGACTGCATCACCTGGAATAAACACTTACATAGCATAGAGCACTCTTCTGTTTTGGATTTGACTTGCTGCTTATTGATCAACACACTTTTTCTCCTTTATCAAGTAAAAAAACCCACATTAATTTCCTTCACGCTTGTGCCAAACTCCATGTTCTTACTGCTCACCCCCGAACACACAGAGATTTGTAGCAAGCACAGAACTATCAAACCAACCACTAGCTAACAGCACATTAAATTGAAAAGAAGACATTTATGTTACTGTAATTCCATGCACCTAAAAATAGCACAAACCCGTTCTCTATTCCCAAAATGCAGCACTGCAGAGGATGACTATCAAAACGTGAAGATTAAAGCTTTGTTCTTGGTCTAAGTGGCTGCTCACAGCTCTGCAATACCAGAGGCTTTATTTGCCACAACAATGCAGCATCACCACGGAGGACAGAACTGTGAAAGGAAAGCAGGCTCTAATGGAGGACTCGGAAATCAGGAGCCTGGACAGAGTCATTGCTCTCTCAGTCACTGCATTTCAGTAAGTGGGCTACTCTTACTCCTGCCTTACGCATTTCCTAACGTGGACTGACTTTAGAAGCTTGAGTAAACACAAAATCTACTTCATAGCTGTTGTAGTGCATTTCTATACTTTGTAATACTTTGAAGTAGTTTTGTTTTGTATCCCCATATTTTTCCCAAATCGTTTATCCCAAACTGTACCCCCCTCCTTCTCCCTGTGTTATCCCTCTCCCAGGATGAGATCATCCCCAAACCCCCACTCTGGCTCTCTGTCAATCACTCAGCCTCCCATCCCCTCCATGCAGAAGTTTCGGTCCAAGTCGTCCAGTGATCAGCCAGAGGCCAGGGGTCAGCCCCCCGAGCCTTGCCCCATACGCTGTCCTGTATGTCTGTCCCCCAGCATCCATCCCTTAGGGTCACTTAATGGTTGGTAAAATGTTATCTACTTTCAGTTTCCACCTCCCTTTAAACGTGACCTTGGCACATCTCCCTGGGGCTTGGCAGGAGGCCCCTGAGGTGCAGGAGCTCCTTTGGGATCCTAATAAAACCTTGGATTAACCCCTGCTAAGAGTCGGCCCTTTATCATCTACCGATGTCTCTGGTGTCTCTTGTGCTGCACAGGGGCCCAGCCCAGGTGCCCTCAGCACCCTCGGGGCACAGAGAGTGTCTCCCCCCAGCCCAGGTGCCCTCAGTTCCCTCGGGGCACACACAGAGAGTGTCTCCCCCCAGCCCAGGTGCCCTCAGCACCCTCGGAGCACAGACAGTGTCTCCCCGCTCTCGGCCGTGTCGGGGCTCCCAACCCCGGTGTCTGCCGACTCGGGACTGGCCCAGGGTCCCTGAGAGGCTCGCAGAGAAACAGAGACAACTTAGGAGCTCCAGACATCTTGTGTCCATCTACAAATCCCATCTAGAGTCCAACTACACCCCACATTACAAACTCCCAGGGACTTCTCCTACTGCACCAGGCTACGCAGGAGGGCAGAGCAGCTCCAGCACAAATGTGTGTGCTGACACCCGTGACACGGGACAGACAGGACACGACAAACAATGGAGACACAACACAGACAGAAATCTCTTGGCAAAAGGGATAACTGCGAGCACCGAGAGCATGCCAAATGAGACGACCGAGGTGAGACTGATGGCAAGCTGACGTGGCTCAGAAAACACTGAAGGAACAAGATGCTAACTGAATGATTTATTCCATAAACTGAAGAGATGGATGCCCGAGAATCCTACAGTCAGAAGCCTCTACCTGTCCTCACATTGTTTCAAGCTCTAATCTGCCATAATGGATCCTGGCAGGGCATAGCTGTCCGTACAGCTCAGAACAAGACCTGAAAAGACATCTGACCGGATGCTTCCAAAGAGAGATGCAATTCTGATACATGTCTGAGCTCCCCAGGCAAAGGTTGTAGGGCATGGATGCCGGGCCAAGAAATGCAGAGATCACAGAGGATAAGAACAATGCCAAGGTTTCTGACAGGCCCCTCAAAGGCCTAAGGTAAGAGACATGAGATACCCAAACAACAGATAATGCACAATAGACAAGGGACATGATACACACTGGGACCGCTCTGCCCTGCGCACCTCAGCACTGGGATCAAAAGTGAGACTTTGCTTTTATGGGGCCTAAGGGGCCACTTCATGGACACCCCCCACCTCCAAAGTGGACTCAAAAACCCATCCCAGTATTTCCCAAACCAGCACCCTGCTTTCATCCCCTCTGTGGGTCGTAGCCCTCTACTTATCTCTCAGACATCTGGGGATGCCGGTCTGTGTCAGGTGCAAAGGAAGGCTGCCTCGACAGCTGGGAAGGTCCTGCTGGCACTGTTGTTCAACAACTTCCTGTTGTTTCTTCGTCTGCTCCAATAAAGAAAACAAAATATCAATGCATAACCTCAGCAGCACATTGGCCAAAACCCAACAATTCTGCCACTCACTCTTTTCCCAAGAATGCCCGGCTCCTGGGGCCGCACGCTTCAGCCGCACTCGGAGGCTGACGCCATCGTCGTGGGGCACGCCTGGGCTAAGAGGAGACGAGGGGATGTGGCGCTGCTGAAACCTGAGCGGAGCCTCGGTCCTCCTCCCTACTTCCCTGACTCACCGCAACTCCTCGGCCATTGCTGAAGGCTACCCTGGTGACACCTTTAAACAGAAAAGGCAGAGGCTTCATCGCCGAGTCCCGGGATTCCTCCCCAGGGCTCGGGAGAGTGGCAAACCCGGCGCGTCGGCCGGTTGGTGACTGGGGCTTGGCGTACTCCGAGTGGATTGCCTAAAGCGCAGAAACAGGAACAGATGCTTAGAGCTGCACCGCAAAGTGAGACTGGAGCAATAACAACTGCTCCTGTACGCTACTCAATGCTCACCTTGCCCATCTCACCTTGACTGCTGATGTCCAGCTTTACTTCCTAAAAAGAAAAAGAACAGAGCTGTAACAGAGTCACACTTGACACTCTCCCTGCAGAGACAAACGGTGACTGACCTGCTCGGGGGAACCTCCTCACTCGGGATGGGTGGATGGATTTTGCCCTGGATTTTATCCTTCTGCATCTGAAAGAAAGCGAGGACAAACGTCAAAGGGCTGCAGGATATCTTCACAGCTCCAAACATCTTCTGTCTATCTAGGAATATCATCTAGAGTCCGGCCACACCCCACAAACTGCGTGTCCCTGAGCCTTGTCCTGTTGCAGCAGCCTCTGCGGCAGGGCAGAGCAGCTCCGGCACAAACATGTGCAGACACCCGTGACACAGAACGTGACCAACGGGGGGACGTTAAACACAACACATTATGCTTGTGGTGAGGGCCTCGAGGGGAAAAGGCAAAAGGGACCCCAAAGACACAGTAGGTAACACGGTACACCTGACAACACGACACGGACCGGAACTGCTCTGCCCTGCCCGCCTGCACGCTGCCATCAAATGTGGAGTCTCTCCCCTTAGCTGTCCTAAGAGGCCCCTAGGACAAGATTGCTTTTCCCTCTGCTAATTTTTCAATCTGTCCCAGGAACTCCCAACCCGCTGCTCTCCCTTCTCCAGGCCGTGACCCAGACTTATCTTTTGGATGATCAGTGATGTGAATCCACGTTGCACCTGAAATGAGTCTGCCTCGGAGAGCCCTGCGATCACCTGTTAGCCTCTCGGTCAGCTACAATAAAGAAAACCAAAACCAAAGTATGAGTTCAGAGTTATGTGGGCCAAATCCCAGCAAGTCAGCTACTTGCCCTCTCCTGAGTGTGCCTGGCTCCTTCAGGCTCCACCTTCATCCTGATTCCAAGGCTGTGGGCATTATTATGAGTGACACCTGGGTTAGAGAAAAGCAAAGTTCAATGGCATTCCTGTGAGTGCAGTGGACCTTGTGTGAGGAAGACATGGGAATGCCTCTGCTGTGCTTCTGAAAAGCCCTGTGTGGGGGGGCCCTCAAATAAATACCCTTTCTCACCCTGCTGCCTGCAAGGAAATGGACGTACATACACACTCTTACAAATGTACCTACGGTTTTGGGGTTTTTTTCTTCTGAAGCTCCAAGAATGATTTCCCATCTTGAGTCATTCAGAAGAAACGGCCCCTGTGACTCAGGTCAGAAGGGTGGCCTGCGTTTTTGATCACGACAGCTTTTGGGTTTACCCTGTGAGCAGGAGCAGCAAGAGCTGAGGCTCAGCAGAGGCTGACCCCGGCCAGCCCCTTCCTCCCTTCCCCGTGTCACAAGGACTTCCAGGCAGAAGGATGCAAAGCAGGTTTGTGTCTTTTCTCTTCAGTGCCAATAGGTAAAAGATGTAGGCTTTGAAATAACTAATGACCCTCTCTTGGAACTCTCCCAAGGACAGTTTGAAAGAAAAGACAGAAGATTGCTGCTAAATCCATATGGGATAAGGATGAGAGCAGCAAGGAGGGCAGGTGAGTCCCCCCCCCAAGGGTGCACCCAGAGCCCCGGGCAGGGACGCAGTCACTGACGGCTCTCTGGGGACGAGACCCTCCCTGCAGGTGACACCGGCTTGTCCTCTCCCTGTGGCACAGGGACCTCCAGGCTCTATGACCAGCCTCATTTTGTCAGCATCCAGGTGCTGTGCTAGAGCCAGAGGGGTCAAGGCTTTCCAGAACCATAGGATCCTTGCGGTTGGAAAAGCCTTCTAAGGACATCCAGCCCAGCTGCTGCCCCCCAAATCAGGTCTCTAAACACCACATCTTGACATCCTTGACATGTCTCCAGGCATGGGGACTTCCCTGGGCAGCCTGCTCCTATGCCTGACCACCCTTTCAGTGAAGAAATTTTCCCTCCAATCCAATCTAAGCCCTCCCTGCTGCAAGTTGAGGCCATTTCCTCTTGCCGTGTCACTTCTTACCTGGGAGATCTCAGTGCTTCAACCTTACCTGCTCCTTCCCTAGGCGGTCTCTGGCTTGGCTGGAGGAGAGGAGAAACACTCCCACCACAGGAATGGCAGCTCAGGAGGTCCCACACCAAGGCCAGGGGGAGCAGCCGTCCTCGCCAGAGCTCGCACGTCCCTTCTTCTCAGAGATTGGCTCTGCTTTTCCTCCTTCAAGTTGTTCCCAAAGCTGCTGGAAGAACTGAAGGCTCCTTTGGCCTTCCATTGCTCGGCTTGTCCCAAGAAAGAGCTTTGAGTGTTGTTACCCCTCCAGAAAGGAAGGGCCTTTCTGTCTCACACGCTCGGTGACACAAAGCTACGCAGCCTCTGCTCCAGGTGGGAAGGGCTTCCTTCCTCCTCTGGCACCTGGCTGGCACAGGGCACAGGTTGCTCAGAGGTCCTGGGGCTGCCCCATCGCTGCAAGTGCTCAAGGCCCCTCGGTGCTCTGCAATGAGGCTCTGAGCAAGCTGCTCGATGGAAGCACGTCCCTGCCCACGGCGGCAGCAGCCTTGGAATGAGGTGATCTTTAGAGCCCCTTGCAACCTGAATTCTTCCATGATTCTGTGAACTGAAAAAAGCAGGGAAAGAAATCTGTAAAGGTCACTAAATGCATCCAAGCACATCCCCATGGATCCAATCCTCAGCAGCCCATCCAAGGCAAGGTCAGAGCTCTCTGCCCACCGAGGACACGG